TATATCTAATATGTTTGGGAAGCCAATTGTGTATATTTTCTACTAATGGATTGTTGTGTTGTTTGATGCCGGTTGTAAAATTATTTATGGACAATTTATCGAATACTTGTGTATGTGCTTGTATAAGTATATTTGGGTATGACAAAATGAAATGCATGATAGTTATTTCTTGTTATAATGATAATACAATTGTGATTGTATTATAAAATGTGTTGTATACCATTTGAAAATGAACTGTGTGTGGATAATTCATAAAAATGTGCAAGTATGTGTGATTGTGTGGTAATTCAAGTGTGATGAATTATTGAAGATATGCATGAATGTTAAGATTAGAAAATGGTCTTAATTGCATATGATTGTTGAACTTGCACATGCATGATTTGTTGTCAAGAGGCAATGCTTGTTAGTTCCGTAGAAACTAGTGTGAAGTTTAAAATCTTAGAGAATGAGCTTTTTGTGTGTTATTGGTCTAGGGAACGAATCAGGTTTAATGTAAAAACCGAAAAATGATAAGTGATCGGTACCATATGCACGAGTTGCATTAGAGTCTTGCATTGAGTCACATCATGTATATGTTTGTAATATGAGATTATGCAAAATATGTGAAATTGATGAATTGACGAATTATGAAATTGTGAGTATGTACTTGTGAATAGTATGGTAACTTTAGTGATAAAATGTTGATGAAGCTTTTGGAGTGTGAGAATAATCATGTTATGTTTGTATGCCATAAATTATATATTATCTTATGATTTCGATAATTATGTGAATTCTCACCCTTCTGTTTGAATGATGTTTTGTACGACATCGCTCATATGCCGAGAAGTAGAGTTGCTTCTAGCACGAGGTAGTCGTTGAAGTAGCTTGTTTTAGTTTCTCTATTTATTTTGGGTTGAGTTATGCTCTTATCATGTAACATTGGGAACGTTTCGATTCATGTTTTGAGAGATATTTTATGTACTTTACTTCATTTTGTTATTGTTATTTGAATTATGTGGAGTATCGGCTTTTATGCCTAAGTGATGATTATGAATAAATTAATCATGAGGCTTTCATTATGTTAATTTATGATTGAAGTAATTTCGCTGCTACATGTTATGTGAAAGTATATGAAAAACATGAATTTATTTTAAGTGTTATTGAGTGTGACAAGTATATGTGTGATGTTTTGAATTATATGTGACACCTTTATTTGAGATGCATGATAACTTACTCAGATTATTTATATATATGTTGTGGGATTTAGAAAGGTGTTACAGGTGGTACTGGTGAATCCTAACGTCTGCGCGAGGATGAGGGAAATGACGTGATGGTGAATCCCGTCTCCTACGGAATGAAGAAAAATGTGGAGTGTGTAACACCCTTTTTCTACCCCAAAAATATCAAGGCAAAATAACACATAAATCAGAGTGAATAAATAAATCTCATTAAAATGCCACTAAAAGGGCGTACACTTCTCAAATTCATCCAAATAGGTCCATACTCCGTAACTACGGGTTTTTCCCAAAATACACCAAAACATCATAAACAGCGGAATTCAAAGTTTTCCTCAAAAAGGGAAATTAATCAAAATAACGTCAATAGTATAACATCAACTCAAGGAACCCAACCCGATGTTACATATCAGAGCAAGACCCTCTAAGCTGACCAAAAGACTAAAACGCTCAAAAACTTCAAAACTAACTCCTCACCGGCGTCCACGGCTAAATTGGATCATCTGCACGTTACCCATGTGGAGGTAACATTCAAACAGGCAGGGTGAGTAAAACAATTCATAACAATCAATGTATGACAATTAATGCATAAACGACAACATATTCATATTCAACACACTCACATTACTCACATATGCCTCAAAGGTCACAACATCAAAATTTATACACAAAGAATCATAAATGCAATGCAACACAACTCAATGCATGTGGTACCAATCATCACAGCTCGATGGACACTGTGCCAGCAACCCTCCATAGATCCCCATCAATAGGATCGGAGCACGTCAAAATACTTCACATCCACACAGTGGGATTGAAGTCAAAGCAATCGAATGCGCATGAATGCATGATGCACACGTCACAATAATAGTCCTCACAATACAGCATATGGTGCATCATCATTCATCCTACTCATCATCATCACATAAATCACATCAATCATCATATCTCAAGTTATCACATAGTTCATCAAATCATGGTAGTTTCATCATATTAACTCAATCGATACATCATAGAAAACTATCATACATCGTGCACACATCACCCGAAACCCACTGTCATACTCGGGGTAATCCATCCCAGAAATCCCAGAATCACACATCACGGCATCGCTGCAAAACAATCAATTTCGCAAACTCTGCTACGTTCGCTGGCTCGCTCGCTAGGCGAGTCTCGTAGCGAACCCCTCGCTAGGCGAGCCTCTAGCGAATCCTCGTTGGCTTGCTCGCTAGGCAAGTCTTGTAGCGAACCTTCGCTGGCTTGCTCGCTAGGCGAACAGTGCGATAACATTAACTTCTGCTAGGCACCAGAACTGATTTCCACCCAAAAACTCCTACGATTCACACATCTCATGCCCCCAAAACATCCCTAAATCATCCCTAAGGTCATACGGCGATAACAACACAAAATCTATGGTTTATTAGGCTAATCTGACAACATTTGCACTGCCTAAAGCACTATTTTCCTGCAATTGCTCTGAGTGCATCAGAGTTACTTACATTTGAATATTCCTATTCCTACAGGGTCAAACATATCACAATCCAAGGTTTTGGCCACGAAGGCCTAAGGTTTCCTTTCTCATGTTACACATCAAACAGCCTGATAAGGTTTCCTAAATTCATGTCAATATTCAGGGATACATATCATCAATTATAACCTCAAAGTCTATTCATCAATTTCCCTAATTCTCCCAACTCAACCCAAGATACTCTAAATCATAAACCCCACCATAAACACACCGAAAGGCATACATAGAAAACCATGAAATGCGATACTCCCCATACCTTAGTCGATTCGCAGCTTTCACGATTAACTTCGGGATCTTCTGCCTCCAACCTTTCCTTCAAAGCTCTGGCCACCAAACTTTCACGTTAAACACAAATGAATTCCAATTTCCTCTCAGAACTCTATTTTGTCTAACTTAGTCTTGGGCCTCACAAATTGGGCTTTTCCTTTATTACCCTTACTAACTCCCTCAAATGCCCAAATTGCCCTTATTTCGCTTATATTCCATTTAATTAATAATAATACTAATAAATTAATATTATATTCTATTAATCAAATAAATACCCGAAAATGTACATTTTTCCAATATTCACAAAACCACCGGAAATTCACCGAAACATGAATATTTTTAATTAAATAACTAATTAACATATTCCGATTAAATTTGGGGTGTTACAGAGTGGCCTGAGATGAAGGTGGGGTGGCATGAGATGAATTGACCTGAGGTGAAGGACGAGCCTCATGAGTAGACTGCGCCCCAGAAGTCGACACCTCTGCCTAACCAGTTGTACTTGCTAGCTCTGCTTCCGCCGAACAGCTGCGTGTTGGACAATCCGACCATCTCTCATTGTGTCGACTCTTCCATCCACAATGTTTGTAAGGTAAAGTAAAGCGTATCATTAGTACACATAGACAAAACACACAAACACGAAAATTAAATATAAAAAAATAGACCGCAAAAAATTTCGGAGATGCATCTTCGAAAATACCATAAAACAATAACGTTGAACAATTCCCAAAATACATCTCCAGAAACACCATAAAACTATTTACATTGAGTAATTTCGAAGATGCATCTCCGAAATATCCTAAAAGATATGAACGTTGAACAATTCCGGAGATGTACCTCTGAAATATTGTGTAACTCAAAGGTCGCAACAATGGCGTAATGTACCTCTTGCAATGTGAAGAGAAAAAAATGATCTGATCGCCATTTTGAACCAACACACAAGTTATACACTAAATCTAAGCCATGTTACTTGTGATTTCTACACATTTCTACCCCTAATCACTAATTTCTACACATTTACACTAAAACTCGAATATTTATCAAAAACTCAAAATTTAAGTGAAATTGATGATTCAATTGTTGTTTTATTAAATATTAGAGATGATGTTTGATGCTCTCTTGTGTTCCTCTAACTTCTTGTTGGATGAAATTTGATGCTTGGTGTACGGAAGTGTATAGAGAATTTAATGTTGTTTTATGTTAACGGAACTGTGAAATGAGAGAAGAGAGTTTGACATGAGTTAAACTCCAAATTATTTCGAAGATATATTTTCAAAACATTTTAACATTCACTGAACTTAAACTTAAGGTGCACCCAAAAATCTATCTCCAAAATCAATGGAGATATATGTGAAAATTCATATGATTGATTAAAAACATATATGGTGCAACAAAAAAATTCTCTATATAAAATTACTTGAGACAAAATATTGAAAAGAGGTCATTTAAGGATTCCATTTATATTTGTCCAGTAAAATGAAAAAAATAAATAAATAAAAATTAAAAAAAAAAAAAAAAAAAAAAAAAAGAAGAAGGTAGAATAAGACAGATTTTATTGAGAATAAGGGTCTAAACCTTGCACCGTTAAAAAAAAAAAAATTGGAATGGGACAGAACAACGGGTGTCGCACCCTTTCAATCCTAAAAATTGTACACTCTTTTAATCCTAAAAATTACAATTTTAGATAATACCTCCTTGACGGATCGATCCAATGCTATTGTGGTAAATAAGAACATTTTACTTCATAACTTTATTCTGGCAATATGATTTCAAATAATGGCTCCATTGCTATGCAAATACTCAAAATCATTCATCAATGTAAGTTCCTCCTTGGCAAGTTGAATGTTACTATTAAGAAGAACCGACATTGATGAAATGAAAGAAACATCAAACTACAATCAAAGTATACATTTTCTATCATAGAAATGTCAACTAATAAATAATTAAACCTAGAGAATGAATAGAATTCCATTTCATGTTTAACTCATCCTTCAAAGAGTCACACTTGGAAACATGCAAGATCCATAACCTACAAAAATTAACACCCAACAAAAAAAAAATATAAGCACAAAATAATGGCCAAGTATAATTAAAAAGTTAAGTGGCTTAACTATTTTGCTTAATAAAAAGCACTTACTTGGATCCTTGGCAGTTTGAATAGCAAGCCCATTAAAATAACAAGTTCCTCCAGTTTTCTTAAACTGCGCCCAATAAGAACTAAACGCATAGCTAGCATGCCAAAAAACCGAATCGGGTTTAAAACACTCTTTCCCCGGTCGAACCGGGTCACAAGTCTGGTTCCCCTGCGAGCAAGCATACGACAAAGCCTCCCCCAAAGCAGTCACATTACTCCCACGCACCGCCACGCACCAAATCTTCCCCTTATACGGCTCATTATTCTCCGGCGGAGGAAGCACCGGAAACTCCGACTCCAGTGTCTCCCCAGAGAGATCAATCTCATAAACCCTAGACCCGTTTGGATACAACAACCCAAAATGCCGCTCGGTACCCGGACCCGGTTTCTGATTCTCATTATACAAAGCAAATAAAAAACTAGGGAGAATTGAACCCGGCCGAGCCGGAGTCCCAACTACCGGTTTTTTCATAACTTTTTTAACGAAATTTCTATTGTAAGTCGCAGCGTTAAAAACATTAGCACCAATCTGATCAATATCACCTCCATTGGGCCAACCCGTTTCCGCTATAAAGATCCGAATATCCGGAAACCCGAGTTTCTCCATTGCGAAATAAACCGAATCCACCATCTGATGAAACAGATTCGTATAAACCAAACCCGAACCCGGATCCGTAACAGTAACATTATGATTATCTCTAAATAAAGCGTAATCCAAGTTGATATTAACCGGGTCGGAGCTCCATGGAAAAAACGGGTAAACATCTAAAAAGAAAAAAGACTTAGTCCGGTTCAAAAAACGGAGCATGGGTTTAATAACCCGAACAGCTATATCTTTTCGAAACGCAGCGTTTGAAGGTGGGAAAGAAGTCTCTAGAACATCCATAGCAGAAGAAGTACCGACTTTGATTTTTTTGATTCTGAGTTTTTTCAACGAGTGTTTGATTCGTCGCATCGCAGGTACGAGGTGAGGCCATGTTGTGTTTGGTGTTGAGGAAATGATTTCGTTTCCTACGAGAAGGTAACGGATTAGGGTTTGTGGGTAGAAAGGTACAACGTTGGATTTGATCCATTGGTCGGAGAGGGTTTGGTTTGTGGAGATGTTGGTGATGAGTTCGTTAGGGAGCATGATTGAGACTTGGAGGTTGGTGCTTTTTAAGGAGGTTAGGATTTGTGGGTTTGTGTCGTAGAGTTTGATGCGTTTTGCGTTTAGGGATTTGATTAGGGAGATTGATTTTGAGGGTGTTGGTAGGTTGTTTCCTAGTTGACCGTAGCAGATTCCGGGTTGAGATGAGAAGCCTGAGCTATCTGTGAAGTGAATGGAGAATAAAAGGATGAGAAGAAGCAGAGGCATTTTATTGTTTCTAGTATGTTAGTTATGCTGTTTCTACTTTGTAGTTTCAACTTTCAATAGAGTATTGACAAGAGTATAGAAAAGAAGAGAATCATAAAGGTGAAGGATACAAAAGGAAGAAGTGAATGGAAGCTGGAAATATGTGTGTGGGAAAATGAAATGAGTCTAGGGCTGTTTAATAAAGTGGAAAAAATATCATTAACGAGTTGAACAAAGCAACGACTACTTTTTGAGGGAATATTTAACTTTTTTTCACTTGTCTCAACTTTCATCGTAGAAAGAAATTGTAAAGGGAAAATGATATAATAGTAGTAATAAAGATAATACTTTTTTCTATCATGAAATAAATATTCCATTGTTGGAGCAATAGTCATAGTTGCAAATTTTGGTTACATGAAAATATGTTTTTTATTAAATAATTTTTTTAATTAGTGAACCGAACCGACTTTTTTAAGAGTATGAAAAATAGTTTTATGAGCATTGTGTGAGTTTCGAAGAAGGAAAGGAAAAGTAGGTGGTGATGAATTAGTGAGTCTGAAAAGATAACACAATGTACGAAATGGCAGAAACAGGAGAAAAAAAACTAGCCGTTTGTGTAAAAAGAAGATATATAGATTGGTGCATAGATTCCAAGGTAGTACTTTTGTTTTAAAAAAACAGAAAAAGTAGAAAGTTATTGATGCCTAACAGAGAAAAAGAATGCTTTGTATTATTTCTCACACCGACATGACTGTCTTCTAGCAACTGAGAGAGATAGATCGTCCGGAAGATACTATAAAACCGACATATATGTCTAGAGATGTAAAGATAAATTTCAGGATTTAATTCAAATTGATTTGATTTCTTCTGTAGTACTCACCTTAAAACCGCGGAACTAATATGTTAAACTCAATTTCTCTAAATACATATGATTTTACCGTAATTTTTTTCCTCTAAATAGATATGATTTTACCGTAATTCTTTTTTTCTGAAATCCCATAATATTTTTATATATTTTAGAATTTTTAAAGTCGAGTTATAAATTATTAAGGTTGAGCACTGAGAAATCAGTATGTCAGAAATTTATAAAAAGTATTCCCTCCAATCTTAAATATAAGTATTAAAAAATTCACATTAATCTTGAATATAAACAAAAGACATTAATAATTATTATATTCAATATTATTATTTTAAATATATTTTTATTTTATTTTTACATTCTCATATTTTTAATGATATCCAAAATAAAAAATATGGGTAAAATTAGAAAGAGAGTAAATTTTAAATATATTCAACATTTTTTTAAAAGGGTGAAATATTTTGTAAAATTGTTTATATTTGAGATCAAATGGAGTAATGATTGTCGAATTGCTACATATGATACTGTTAAACAAATAAAAGAAACCCTATAAAATTTTACAAAAGTGCGAGAAGAAGGAAGAAGAAGAAGAATTAGTTAAACATGTTTTTCTATTTACTTTCTCTATAAGACTTTAAAGATTACAAGTAAACACTAACAATTAACCTCTTTCAACAACCTGAGAGCACTACTCTATTTATATACTATTAAGTTAACGTATGATACAAGCTAATATAACAATTGGGCTTAGAAGTAAAGCTCAATTCGACATACTAACTTAATTTACAAGTTAATATATTTCAACATTATGCTCAAACAGACTTCGACTACAGCATACACAACTCCTGTCGAATCAGGAAGCTACCTTTATCGACACTAGAGTTCGATCCAAATACCACAGATACAAGTAGGAGTTCGGGTTGTATGGTTCTCAACAACATGTTTTCAGATAGTGTGTACAATTGGTGTAATGGTTATGGGGCAGTTCTATGGTTGCATGGGAGTTATAAAAGATGATAAATATGACATTACATGACAATGATGACGACGACGAACGTTATTATCATCATTTAATCATGAAATTTGAAGGGGCACTTCTTAATGATCTTAGGAAGTGAGGTGAAGGTGAGAAATAAACACAAGAAAGGGGGGGATTGAATTGGGTTTATGCCTAAATAAAACTTTTTTCTTTTCTTATCTTCTTCTTTCACTTGATGCTTTATGCGCTTATATTAAATACATTGCGGAAGCATAAATAATAAAGCATACTGAAAGTAACGAACACAACATATATCCTGGTTCACTTGAGCAACTCCCAAGCTAATCCAGTCCACCCTTCCAAGGTGATTTCTCCTTAATCAATTAAGGACTTAATCCACTATAACCGAACTGATTACAGATGCACAAGCTAACTGCAAGTGACTAACAACAGATCAATGAAACGTTCAGGGATCCCCAAGGATATAACGTTCATTAACATCTAATAGAATCCGATCACTAAAGATCTCCTATTAGAAAACCACAAATGACTACTGTCACTTGTCATCTCAAGTATACTGATCTTCACAAGATCACTTGAGGAACCATTAATTCTAAAATAGAATGTTGTGTTGCCGGAGATTACAATGGTGCTTCCTAGCAAGCTAATTACTCCAAGTTAAGCACATAGCAAGTAATGAGCAACAACTCCTTGCTTCCTAATGTGAAAACTAATCTAATGATGAATCTCTAAGAGATTATAAGAACATAGTTTCCATATTGCTTAAAAGTTTTTCTGTGTGTGAGCACTAAGGCTTCTTTTCATTTAAGCTTTTCTTCTTTCTTTCTTTCTTCACTTCATGCTTACTAGCATGGTAACATTTGAATGAATCAAATGTTATTTCTTATAGTGCAGCTTAACAGTAACAGCGTTGCTTGACTCAGCAACCCAGCCACTCAACAACATTTTTGATCAAATGATTCTTCTTTTTATATTGCAGCCAATAGAGTTGTTGTGAGGATATAGTTGTCCTTTCTCATTCCAACGGTCATATCCCAATGGATAGAATAAGCTCATGTGTTGGAACAGTGACCTTAGCTTGTAGCTTCAATATATTTAATCCTTGAGAACTACGCTTGAACAGTACCAACGTCTTTACCACATTTGAATAATTGCATACGTTGTACTTCAATCTTCTTGTTTCTTCTGATGATTCGTTTGACGAGTAGTTCAGAACTACTTTGGTATGAAAGCTTCAGCATCAGAGTTGTTAACTCAAGCACATGATTTATCAGATTTGAACAACAGCAGCTTATCTGATGTAACACGTCTTGCATCTGGATGAATCTTCTTCTGACACAATCTTCCACTTCAGAATCCAGTCTTCAGCATTCCAAGAACTAAGTTTCCTCTGAAACAATCTTGAGAATCTTCATGACTAATTCTTCAGAAACCATGTCTTCAGAATCTTCAGAGCCTTGACCTTCAGAACACTTCTTCAGAGTCTTGACCTTCAGAACACTTCTTCAGAGTCTTGTCCTTCAGAACCTGTCTTCAGAGTCTTGACCTTCAGAACCTGTCTTCAGAGTCTTCAGAGTCTTCAGAGTCTTGACCTTCAGAACCAGTCTTCAGAGTCTTGACGCACTTGGTCTTCAGAGCCTTCAGCCTTCAGAACTTCAAGTCATCAGAGTCTTCAGCACTTTGTTCTTCAGAGGACTCACTCTTCAGAGATGCTCGTTAGCTTCCAGATCAGATGCATAACTCAGAGCAGAATCCATAGATGCATTATAACTACAATGTCCAGCATCCTTGATTCTTTACTAAACATGATCAGATGTAGAAACAAACTTGCTTCTTTACTGAGCTTCATTTGCTTTTAGATCAGATGCACTTCTTCAGAGCAGAAACCACAGGAGCATTGCAACTGCAATATCCAGCACCCTTGGTTCTTTACTGATGGTGATCAGATACATAAGTAAACTACCTTCTTACAAGCGCTTCATGACGTCACACTAAGTAATTCCATAAGTTACTAGCTGCACACGTTGCTTCTGTTTGTTTGGTCTAATATATTTAATTTAATATGACCTGCACATAACAAACATTAAACCATAAAATGGTTCTTTCACAAATACTCAATTGTTATCATCAAAACATAGAGATTATCCTGTAGAGACAAATCTTGCTCTTACAATCTCCCCCTTTTTGATGATGACAAAAACATGTATTTTGATAGAACATTTTATACAGGGTAATCACCAAGCATTAACCTATTCAGAGTTCTAAGCAACTGCTCCCCCTGAATGTGTTAACCTTTAAAACATTTTTATGCTTGTTCAAAGACATACTCTGATCCCAAGACTTACAAAAAATAAATTTGATAAAACATAATCAAATAGAGTAGAATAGAAGGAATACTTCCCTACGATATAAGATAGCATAAGTCTTCAGCATCTGGACTAGTTCAACAGAAATTCCATCTTCATATCTTTAGAACTTGTCTTCTCTAAGCATTGTATCAGAGTCATATAACTTCAGAATCTTCTAAAGCATTTTCTCTTGATCTTCAACACATCTGTTTATCTACAGATGAGAAACTCCCCCTGAGTTTTAGACTGGGTGAAAATCAAATATCCTGACTTGTGAACCTTCCTGGGAGAACTCCCCCTGATTACAGTATGTCAGATATTTGGATCTTCTGATCTTGATACAGTCTTGATTCTTGCTTTCTCAGACTTGCTTTCTTCTCAGATTTTTGATCTCTTGAAGCAGTCTGATACTAATAGAAACCAATAGAATGTTTACTTCTGAATCTGATTCCAATATTGAATCTGAGTCTGATACCCATGTTGGTTCTTAGTCTGACACCAATACATGATACTCATGATTCTGATTCTGAATCCAAATCTTGCTTCTATGAAGATTTTTGATTCTTATGCTCTGGTTATCATATTCACAGATAATTTACATCTTCTGAACATTCTGATTCCAGATGACTTTAACTTTCAGATCTCTGAACAGTATTGGGTCCATCTGATTCTGAATCTATGTTCACGAAGTGTATAACTTCTATTATATGAACACCAGTTCATTTGAGCTCAAATTTCTTTCAATTATCCTGTTTAGAATGCCTAGTGAACTTGTTCAGAGTTCCTCGGAAAAACATCAAACTCACATTTAGTA